TCAGCGTTTGGATCTTGGGCGCGGACATACGCCACTCGTCAAGCCATGCCATGGAGGCGACCCACATACAAAAAAATAGAGGAAGATTGGCACAGATGTTAGCTCAGATTGAATCTTCCAAACCAAAAAAAAAAAGTAACTTCCTTCCTTGATTTCCTATCGAAATAGTCATCTAATCCCCCCATAAATCTCTATTTCTTGCCTTAGTTTTTTAAATAGTACTTAGATTTACCCGCTATTTTATCAGTTTTCTTTTTTTTTTTTTTTTTTACTGATTGTCTTTTCCCCAACTAGAATGAAAGCTTCATGAGGGCAGGAAATTTTCCTTGTTGCTTGTGCTGCATTCCAAAAGCCTACAAGATTGCCTCGCACAAAGCAGTCATTCTATCCACTCCTTATTATCCATTTGTATAATAACAACTACTATTTGTTCACAAACATGTTGGGAACCATGCTGAGCATTTTTATGTTTAAAATAAAACATATTTTTATTTTAATCCTCAAAACAACCGTAAGGGGTAGAGGCATTCCCAATGCACAGTGGAGAAGAGTCAGGCTTTGCTGAAGGTCCACAACTAGTAAATGACAAAATCGCAACTCACAGACAAGTTTAGCTGATCGAAATTTTGCTTTCAACTACTTTTGTGTATTGAAAGATTGAATAACTTAAGATTATACAAACTCATGAAGGGATACATAAAATACACAGCTTACAAAAAAGGCGCTTTTAAAACCTTATTAGTCTATCTAGGTAGGTGGGATGTGAGAGGGTGGGCAGCATTCCTAAAAAATGAAAAGAGCGTCCCAGAAGCACAGTGCTGCAGAGTATTCAACAGCAGACCATAAACTTAGTGTCCCTGAATAACTTAAAAAGGATCATGCTGCTCCTATGAAAGTGGGGTGACTCCAAGTCCATGTCACTCGGGCTGCTGTCAGTGTTATGGGCTAATGGTAAAGCAGTGTTAATAGAGAAAGATCTTCAGACACTTTGGCTCTGTCTCAAAGAGCTTTCAAAAGTGACCATTTTATGTCCTTCTTTAGTCCTAATGTGGAGAGATTTGATGCCTGTATAAATCTGAGAGTTATTTCTCTACTAAAGCTAAAGAATTCAAAGCTAAAGAAAATCAGTAACATCTGTTGCCTACAATCAAGTAATGTAGCCATATATTAACTTGTCTATATTATATAGATAAACAATATTTAAGATCCCAAGAATTACAGACTTATAAAATCAGCTGAAATTCTTCCCAAAGTGATCATTTCTTCTACAATCTGGACTCTTCCATGGACAAATCTGTCCTCATCTTGGATGGGAGTGCTTTCCACTGCTGAAGAGCACGAACTTCATTAATCTCATGCCACACTCATGGCCCTCTCTGAGTTGCTATACCTTGTGACATGTGTGTCTGAAGACACTAAATTTGCCATGCTGGACACACTAGATTTAGGATTCTGGACATTAAATCTGCTAACTGGATCAGGAACTGGTGTTCAACCAGAAGAAGCTATATGAGTGATCAAATCCCCTTGATCTGTGTTGTCCTCAAACTCTGTCCAATAGGGAAGCTTTGAATTTGATGGTGGAAAACCCACTCTTAGAGGAGCAAGTACTAAGTACCTCCAGCAAGGACAGCTCACTAGAGCCCAGGTGTATCCTAAGCAACACGGGGCTGTTGTTTCTGTTCTCTAGAATATCCCAGTCATGGAAACATTGTGGCAAAGGTGACCGTGAGGGGGCTGTATGGTGTCCTGCTACTTGACTTCTCTGAATACCCTTATACTAAACACCAATGGAAAAAGGTTATCTGTGTGTCTCTGCCTTGCCAAAACAGCCTAACACTCGCATGCTGAGCTAGCTCTCTCTTCTACTTCTATCCAGCTATCCAAGTTCTGCCTTTCACATTTTCACTCAGGCCTTAAGTCTTCTCTCCTCCATGGAATGATGCTCAATTCCATCAATAACCCCCTACCAGATAGTTGCTTTCCTGTAAACTAGTAAATCTGCATCTCTCCTAATGCATTCCCATCTGAATAATACCCTCCAGACATGGTATAAGTAGGACATGGTTTATTGGTACAATCACCATCTTGTTCTGCTCACTAAGTTTCATAAATATTTTTTGCAACCCTGTCACACTATCCACTTATACCAAGCTTGTGGTCAATTAAAACATCAATGCTTTTTTATGTAAGTCTGCCCGGTCTATTCTAACACAATAGATATTTTTAATCTAAATGCAGGTCTGTACATTATCTATGCCACATTTATCTTTTGGACTTCAACTCTTTCACATCTTGTTTCTGTTATGCTTGAGAGAAGATATTCCTCCTAATTAATGGTCAACTATGAATTCAAACATGTTTGTTTTTTATCCAAGTTACTGATAAAAATTCTGAACAGAATATGATCAAGAAAGGAAACCAATGACATGACACCAAAAATTCTCCTCTAGTCCTCTCTGAACTTGTTAGAGACATTAGGGTGAAGCAGCTAAAACAGCTGTAAGTCTACTCAAACAGTTACAATCTAGTCTTCTTTTCCTCGTTTCATACAAAAATACAGAAAAATAACTGACCATGAAGTACAGTCATGTATGCTCATCAGTAATATTTCAGGGTTCATTTTTAGAAGTTTACTGGAGCCTGGGTGGCCAAGTGGATGGAGTATTTAATCAATTTTAATACCTTTTAAATGCCTCTACTTTGGTCAAATAGAGTCATTCCCAGCTCTTAATTTGTTCTGATATAGCCATTAGAGCTACAGTGCCTTTTAGGAAAGAAAGAAAGTAAGGGTTATCCCACTAGAGGTTAGATAATGTAGAGGGAACTCCACATAGTTCTTACACAAAACTTTTGCCACCAGAGAACCTGTGAGGGAAATTATATGCAAGGAAATATGGCAAATGGAGAGAGAGGTAAGCCTAAGGGATAAAGCCATGAAAGATTAAATCTGTCCATGCTGTAGATACCAAATATCAGATTTAAGAGTTTATCAGAGCCCCATATGAAACTTGGCAAAGGTTCAAGCCTCCTTAATATCTTTTAGGGAACAAAATAAATATTTACATTATATCTACTTCCTGGTAATATATATCTAAGAATATCACTTTGAAAGGTGAATAAAAAATATGCTAGAATGGGAAACAGCCATCACTTGATATAAGTAATTTAGGTAGATGTAATTCAATTTACTATAATTCCCTCAGAAAAGAGAGACAAATCCACATTTTTCATTGGCTTAAACCATTTTTTACCCAAACTCACTAAGAGAGGAAAAATTTAATTTGAAAAGATCAGCCTTATTGATTGATCCAGGAGACCCTTGGTACTCCCCAGGAGAATAAGACTGATGAAAAGGAAGCATCACTTTGATATGAATTAGGCAATGAACAGAAAGATTTCTAGAGTAAGTCTCAGTCTTAGTATACTTCATTTTTCAAAATACGATCTGCAGTGTAATCAGAAATCAAAAGTAAAGCTTCTGAGGCCTCCACTGGTGGTAGTCAGGGCATATAATCCAGAGATCTACTTTTAATATTAATATCAATATGAGTAATTGCAAGGCCCCAGGACAGCAACTACTTTTTCATGAAAATAAGACAACACAACAAATGAAGGTCTATTATAAAGAGATAGTGTGATATAGGGAAATGAGCACGGAATTTGAATTGGTAAAGAATTTGGAGCCAGGAGAATTGAGCTCTTGCCCAGTTGTGACATTTCTTTATTTCTAAAATGGTGATAAAACATAACCCACAGGGTCACTGTAAAAATCAAACAAAATAATGCATATAAAAAGGCATTTACAGGGGCCAGCCTGGTGGCATAGTGGTTAAGTTTGCATGCTCCACTTTAGCGGCCCAGGGATTGCGCGCTCGGGTTCTGGGCGCAGACCTACACACCGCTCATCAAGCCATGCTGTGGCCGCATTCCACATACACAGGGGAGGAAGACTGGCACAGATGTTAGCTCAAGGACAATCTTCCTCAAGAAAAAAGAGGAGGATTGGCAATGCATGTTAGCTCATGGCCAATCTTCCTCACTGAAAAAATAAATAAATAAAAAGGCATTTACAGTCATGTACTGCATAATGACGTTTTGGCAATGACAGGCCACATATACGATAGTGGTCCCATAAGATTAGTACCATGTAGCTTAGGTGGGTAGTAGGCTACACCATCTAGGTTTGTGTAAGTACTCTATGATGTTCACACAATGACAAAATTGCCTAATGAGTCATTTCTCAGAACATATCCCCCTCATTAAGTGACACATGACTGTATATAGACAGTGCACAAGCATTAAATGTTTCTCCCAGTAAATAGTAAGCTCCTCAAAACTAGAATTAATCTTGTCTTTTTTATGCTTTATACTTAGCACAATCTCAGACAAATGGATTTTGATAAATGTTTGGTGAATAAGTGAATGACCACCCAGGAACCACACACCACAAACATGACTGTTCTAATCGCATGCATAGTTTGGCAAGGTAAGGTTTATAATATGCAAATGTCAACTTTAAAAAGTTTATGCTAAAATATAAAATATAAATAACCAGATGTGTATTTATAAATATGTTGGTTCTATACATAAAATATACATACACATATATGTATATGATTTAATAGTTCAAATATATTGTGTAAACAGAAAATATAAGTGAACTGTGATTTTTTTTAATGAAATCTATCACAATTAAAGACCTAAGATTCACTAAAGTAAAAAACAAATTCCTACTTGGGGTGATCACCTAACAGTGTTCACTGCAGTGTTGCTGTTATGGCCAAATATTTGTTTCACATGATTACGCTTTAGCAAACCGTCCAGAATGCAGTTTGAATTTTATTTACAATTGTAAAATTCTTACTATCAAATTGTAAAATCTTACCATCAAACTGTAAAAATCTTACCACCAAATCACTTTGACAATTTGGGGGAGGGTTGCATACTGATTTTATAAATAAAATCTCTATGAAATGAATTGAAGGAAGGTGAGTTACCTGGGTCTGTAGAGGCAATAACATAGGTGTTTTGTATTAACTCGTTTGGCCTGAATAAATATTCTCATCCAGGGTTCAAAATACAGAACAGATGTGTAGGCTCTGAATGACCATCTCTCCGGAAAACTAGAAAAGAAAGCAGCAAAGCACACACTGTAGAGGATGCAATAACGACATGTCTTTGAGAAGAAAAAAATCAGACTACCAGGTCATGATGGTTACTACTAGCAGCTTCAGGAACTTTCCCGATAAACCTCATGAAGAACAAACACCAGTGAATCTTGCAACACTCACATACTTTATTAAATAGACCTTTAAATACAGGGGCCCACATGAATAACCTACACTTTGATTAGAACTGAACTTTGGTTGGCAACTAACGGATTCTAAGTAGACTTACATCAGCAACAGAAAATGTACTTTCCATTAAAGCTATTGGCCCAGAAGGACAAAACCCAGTCAAATAAACAAAACAATTCCCCCACTCAAACATAACAAAAACACTCTAGGCCCACATGGATAAAAAACACTTCCATAAAGTTATTGTAAACAGGGAACTACAATAGAAATGTTTCATTTGCTTCGGAAATTATCAACAAGAAACATAAAACTTCATTCTGTAAGTGCAGTAAGTATTAAAATAAGTATTTAAGTCCAGCTGAGGGGAGGAGTCTGACAACATAAGAGAAAACGAGGGGGAGAGAGAAAAATAAAGGATGGGAAGGCAATAAAATGGGAGCAGAAACAATGTAAATAGCTTATGAAGGAAACTATCCTTGTAAAACTGCGCGTTGTCGGGAAATCACTGTGTGGCTGTATCCTGACAACTCCAAGGACCTTCTATATTAAACTCCATTTATGAACTTTAAACCCTCTCCAGTTAGACAAGAAATAAAGATCAAAAACAAGCCCAGCCATGCTTAAGAAGTAGTGCTCTTGATCTGCGGGGTCCCAGAAAAGGCTACTATGAAGGACTATAAGGTCACAGAGAAAGCAGAGAGCACTAAACCCATCATTTTTACAATCCTACCTCAGTCCAGAGGGAGACAAAGATGATGGAAAGGAAATACAGAGCTTGTCTAAAGAGGACTGCTCAACGGGGTCACTCCACTGCCAGTTACTCATAAGAAAGACAGAACTCGAAGGAATTGACAAAAATGAAGATGAAGCCCATATGAGGGGCTTCATCCAAGGATTTCCTTGTTGGTTATAAGTTCCGTCAGGCAGGATCTGAAGCTCATTAAAAATTCAGGAATTTCTTTTAATTGTTTAAAAAGAAATTCTTTTAAAGCCTTGACTAGAGTGTCCCAATATAAATTATCTGAAAGTATCTAGTCCATGGCTATTATTCCATAAATATTAATGCATTTTTAACGTGACAAGAGAGGCTGTCTGCATTAGGGTGTGGCGCTACACTAACATGGTTGACTTTTACTACACCAGAAGCTGCACAGTCAAGTAAGTCCTCACCTATTCAAAGAAAGAAAAGTCAACTTGGGACACTATAAACATCCGGAGAACTTTTGTTCAAATCCTTTCTGGATCTCCTGATTTGAAATTGTTCTTACAGCTAGTAGCTCTTTCTTTTGACTCTCCTCAAAGCTAACAGAGCTCTGTCATTTGAAGGTAAAAGTCAAAAGTAATTCAGGGCCAAGTTTGAGAATTTGAGAGATACGGTGAGAGATAAAATTGGGTTAGACAAGTTTGGTTAAAAAAATATATATTATACAAATACAAAATAAGGACACTAATACATCTACCTTTTGATCAATTTTTTTACACATTCAATAAATATTTATAGGTAAATATTCATAGCATGTGTGTTGAGGATCCTCCTCCATGTTAGGAGATTTGCTGAAAGGTCTCATGGGATTTACCATATAATAAATGAGAACATGGATGAATGGGTTTATTATTATGACTAGCTTTACAACTTTAATTTACCTTGTGTAACTGGAATTTTATAGTTCTGAAAGTATGCAGTCTTTTTTTTTTTAATTTTTTGTTTATTGCAGTAACATTGGTTTATTACATTGTAAAAATTTCAGGTGTACATCTTTGTATTTCTATTTCTGCATAGATTACATCATGTTCACCACAAACTGGTGCAGCCACTATGGAAAACAGTATGGAGATTCCTCAAAAAATCAAGGATAGAACTACCATATGATCCAGCTATTCCACTGTTGGGTATTTATCCAAAGAACTTGAAAACACCAATTTGTAAAGGTACATGCACCCCTGTGTTCATTGCAGCGTTATTCACAATAGCCAAGAATTGGGAGCAACCTAAGTGCCCATCAAGGGACGAATGGATAAAGAAGCTGTGGTATATATACACAATGGAATACTACTCAGCCACAAGAAACGATGAAATCCAGCCATTTGTGACAACGTGGACGGACATTGAGGGTATAATGCAAAGTGAAATAAGTCAGAGGGAGAAGGTCAAATACCGTATGATTTCCTTCATTAAGTAGTAGTATGCAGTCTTAATTTAGTTAAATTACAAAAATCAAATCAAATGTTAGAAAATAGTTAATATGATAAAACCTCATATATTTTACTTTATGTTTATTTAGCCACTTTAGCAAAACTTTTTTCACATAAATCTTAGGCTTACTTACCCACAAGCTTGGTTAAAAAAAGATATTATTATCCCTATTAGATGTGGGTGAAGGCAGAGATCTCCAATGGCTTGTCTCGGGCCTTACAACGAATTAGAGGATCTGTCCTAGAACCGCGATGTAGTAAGGATATACAGTGGATTATACGGGAAAAGTTAGGTGGAGCCTGGAGGAATCCATGTGCAGCTTTCTTATGTTCTCTCCCTCTCATGACAGGTCACACAGAGGTACACTCTTCCTCCAGCTATGAAAATGCAGCAACATGTGTGTTTCTGCCCAGGGAAGCCCACTAGAGACTCAGCACTGAAGGTTTTTACTGGGGGTTGGTCACATAGGCACCCTCTGCCTAGCATATATCAAAATTCCGGAGTCCCAGGAAGAAAGCAGGCTTTCAGCATAAACCATATTGTTTGCATAGTCTGGACAAAGTGAGCCACCCTTATTTGTTATGGAAAGTTTTAAATCAGTGCAGGGAACTGTTTACCAGCCAAGTTCTCAGAAGCCAGCCAAGGACCAACCTCGCAAGCAAGGCTTTCTGTGGACAGAAGCCCTCTATGTTAACCCTTTTCTACACACATATCACTTTTGAAAGTTCCTATTTGTGACAAACAGAATGGCAATACCTCTTACGCTATGGTGATGTCTGTGATAGGAAGACTAAATATAAAATCTGTATATGAAATGAGCCACCCAATGTAACTTTTGAACTTCTTTATGGGATGTGTAAGGTCCTTTAGGATCTGGCCCTCACTTACCTCTCCAGCTTCGTCTTTTGCCAGCTTCGGTCTAGCTGTTTAGGACCACCCTCAGTTCTCCAGATACGGGCTCATGCTTTCTTATCCCCAAGCCTTGGCACATTCAATTCCTTGGCCACTTTTAGTTACCTCCTCTTCACCGCTCAAGATGCAACTTGAGATCTTACCTCCCCTCGAAGCCTTCCCTCACTCCTCAAGTGAATCACTCTCCTCGGTGCTCCCTTTCTTGTTCTGTTTCTCCCCATCACAGCACTTGCCACGTAGTGGTGTCACTGCCTGCGTATTTATCTGTATCCCCATCAGGCTGTATACTCCATGAGGCTAGCATCCTCATCAATAAATATTTACTGAATAAATGATAATTATTCAGGACTTCCTGGGCTTGATTTAGAAAGATTTATAAGGGTTTATAAGGGTTCCTTATACAAGAAAGACTTTTTTTGTGTGTGTGAGGAAGACGAGCCCTGAGCTAACATCTGATGCCAATCCTCGTCTTTTTTGCAGAGGAAGACTGGCGCTGGGCTAACATCCGTGCCCAACTTCCTCTACTTTATATGGGATGCTGCCACAACATGGCTTAACAAGCTGTGTGTCGGTGCGCACCTGGGATCCGAACCCGCGAACCCCGGGCCGCCACAGTGGAGCACGCGTACTTAACCGCTTGCGCCACCGGGCAGGCCCCCAAGAAAGACGTTTTAATGACTGATCATCTTCAGTGATAAGAAATCAGTCTTTATAAATAAAGCCATTTACTTGGGAAACAAATATAAATGTACTAAGTAATCAGGGTATATTCAAAGATCTAAGAAAAAAAGTACTGCTACTCTCCATCCATCAGGAACTACTTCACATATCTTTTTCAAGTGAGGTTCTTCTCTTGTTCACTCCTAAATACCTTTCTTTTTTGTCTTAAAGTTTGCCAGAAGGGTCCATATCTCTATCGTTGTCCATCTCTCTCTTTATGCATTTGTCCTCTGCTCAGCATTGGGTATTTGTTAAAAGTCTCTAATTCCGCCTCCAGCTGTGGCTGTGGCCTCTTTCTTCTCCCAGTCTAGCCACGTTGTTCCGCTGCTGTTTTAAGTGTTGCTCCAAATGTGGCACATCATGGGTGGAGTGCTGTGCTGTGGTCACCAAACTGTGTTAAGCACAGGAGGGGGACCAGAAAGAGGGGTCCCACGGCCAGTGTCATAGCTCCTTTATCTACAAGTGCAGATTCTCTGTGGCTGGAGTCTGAGAATGTGACTTTTTTAAAGCTACCCAGATGATTGCTTTAACTCTGCCAGTTTTGAGAACCACTGCCTGGCAGACCTAGTGGACAGGGTGGTACGTAAGGCAGGTTGCCTGAAAGAGAGGAGAACAATCTCTCACAGGTGTTCAGACCTAGGATGCCCTCTACATTTATCCCTACTAGGTACACAGATAACAGACTCCCATCAGCCCAGCCACTGAGCTACCTTTACAAGGTCCATGGTGAGGAAAATGACTCTACACTCCAGGCACTAGAATAAATTAGATCCCTTTTGAAATATCTCAGAAGTGCCATGATTTTATTCATGAAAATACTGTATACTATGACCAAAATTATTTTCTAAATTTATTGCTCAAGTCCCTACAAAATCTCTGAAGATTTCTTGAAGTTGAAATTAACAAGGCCTATATTACCTTGAATATAAAGAAGCGCATAAAGATTTTTAACTAGTTTAAATTCTGAACTGTGAAGGGGCTAACCAAACTTAATCTTGGG